CTCTAGTGATGTAATGGGTGGGCCAGGCCTGCCCTTAAAGGGGCCTAGGAAGGTTTAGAGATGGGTCCCTCTCTAGCAGGGAATGGAAAATGCAGTTCTGCACAGCTGTTGCCATGCAGGTGGCTGCTGCCTTGCACTGGGGAGGATTGCCCTGGACTGTATTGCACACAAATGGGAGTCATGAGCTGTGCCAGACTTGGAGGATGTGTTGCACTGAATTACATTGCACTGCTGTGCAACACACCAAAGAGAACTGCATTAAAGCTGGCGTGACAGCACAGAACTGTGTTGCATTCAGCTGAATTGCACTGCAGTGTCTCAATCTAGAGTGCAGTTAATTTCACTGGAATTCACACAGGGCCAAATTCTCCTCTGGATGACTCTGTACAATCTCAGTGGTGTCACTGCATCCGTTCCATGGAAGCTTTTTGTAACTATGTACTGGCCTTTAAGGCCAGAGGGGATAGTTTGGGAGGCCATATACCCTGATTCCATGTGTCTGGGGACAGCAGATGAAGGCTGGAAAAATAATGGAAGTGACCATTAGGAAAGAGGAAATTGGTCCAGGGGAGCAGTTAGTGTCTGGGAGGGTGTGACAGGTTCCCCAGGTGCAACCTGGATCTGGGGTACCCTGGCATACCAACCTAGGCTCCCTCTCACGCTGTGATGCTGTGACTAGCAAAAACCTCTCCAGGTACTGCACTTACACAGCCATCCACAGGCAAGGACACACCCAGCTGAGTTATATGAATACTTCTCCTAGCCACTTATAAACTAACAATTGAGAGGCTCCAGTCAATTCCTCCAGCCTAGGACCCCAGGGCTGTACTGTCTTGCTCTGGTCAGAAGCCTGACCAGTGTAAGTTTATTACCCAGTCTGCCCCTCCCTCAGTGTGGAGAGGACATGCACCAGCTTTTGTTCACTGAGCAGATTTCCCAAGCACTTCAACCAAAACACACTGTTTAAGGTAAAATATAAACCAGATAGATTTTACGTGATTATAAGTAGTAAGCGTAGAGATCAAAGTTGGTTACCTAAGAAATAAAAGTAAAATCACAATCTGAGCTCTATAAACTAGACAGGATTTGAATCAAGCCGTGTCTCACCCTGACGGGATAGTTCCTTAATACACAAGCTGGGGTTCTCCTTTCCAGCCTGGAACCACCCTCCCCAGTTCAGTTTTTGTTCTCCAGACACGTTTCCAGGTGTTGCGTTGTAGGGGAAGTGAGGCCAAGTGATGATGTCACTTCCCCTTTTTTATAGTTTCTTCCAACTTGCTGGAAAGACCCTTTGCTATGAAGTGAATCAAGTCCATTGTCTACGAACTCTCTCTGAGAGGTCTCCATTGTATACAGTTCCTGGGATAGTCCTTGGGAGTGTGGATTCCCCTTAATAAGTCATCAACGCTGTCTGGCTTCTCCACTGTTGTACCTGAAAGGCTGCTTGGGGGTGTTTCCAACTTCACAACACATTTCAGTAACACACACATAGCAAAACTTCATAACTTCCCATACAACGATAGCACATACAAACCAACAGGATATTAATGTTCAACAGGTCAAGACTTTTAGAATGATACCTTACAAGGCATACTTAGTACAAAACATATAATAATCATATCACCATGGTAAATATGGGGGTGCCAGGGTATTGCTTTGGGGTACAGAGTGCCACAAAGGGGGAAGGTATTGGACCATCCCAAATCATTTCTCCTTGAAGGGCCTAGGACCAGGAGCTTTGAAGAGTGGGCACAGCAAAATTCCACCCTCTCCCATCCAGCACAGACATGGTTTGGAGTTTAGACCCACCTGGGGAGGATCAAGAAACTGAACAGTGACTGGCCAGATGACTCAAGAGGAAGCTCCAAGCCCAGGAAAGGGGGGAGCTGCTCAGATGGAGAGGAAGAGCTCAGCTGGGACACAGCCCCAGAGGGGAGGGCTTGTGAAACCCCTGACTCTGAGAACAGGCCAGGCAGACCAGGACTGAAATCCCACAGTCCCAAGAAGGAGGGCTGGGAAGCCCTGAACTTAAAGAGGGTAGCTGGTTAATTTGAATTAATTAGCCCTAAGAAAGGGGGAATATTGTTCTTAAAGACTCTGGGTATAACTGGATTATTCTCAGTACATATAGGGAAACTGAGGCAGGGTGCCTGAAGGGCTGTCCTAGGCCACAAGGGGCTGCTATGGGACAGCATCGATGTATAACTTTGAACCTGCGAGCTACCAGGCACCCTCAACTACTCAGCTCCCCAAAGGCTCAAGCCCTAAATGAGAAGAGCATTTTGGCTCCGTGTTATGATGCAATTGCGTTGAAGCAGAAAGCACTCTGCTGCATTTCATTTCACTGGCTACAGTTGCATGCAGTGAGCAGCATCTCCTTGAAATGCAAGGGGCTGCACTGCACTAGAGGGACAGGGTAAGTAGTGTAGCCCCTGAATTGAGATGGAGGCTGTCACATTTAATTGCACCATGTTGCAATGCGTTGGAGTAGGTCACATGGAGTAGAATTGCATTAGGATACCTGACTTGAGGGACCATGGGTGAAACCAGTGGTGGCAACGAGTGGGGGTACCTGACTGGAGGTGCCCATGGGTGTAACCAGGGCGGTAGGGACGGGGGATACGTGACTGAAGGTGCCCATGGGTGGGACTAGGGATGGCAGGGAAGTAGATATGGGGCTGGGGGCCTGTGGGTCTGATGTACCACTGCCTGGGGATACACATTGAATCCCAGTTTCTAGGGCTATCAGACCAGCTCCCCCTTGCCTTGGGGCCCCAGCCCTGGGCTGGGCTGTGGGGTTAGGGCAGGTCCCCCACACAGAGCCAGCCCTGGCTGCCACCATGCCATGGCTTCATGTGTGGCTGAACTTGTCTCCAGCAGGGAGGGAGGTGCTGTGGGCTAAGCTGAGCAGGGATTTGGGGCTCCTAAGCGTCTTAAGGCTAATGGCTGAGGGAGATGAAGGGAGAGTGGTCAGTCCAGAGGACAGAGACGGCACATGGGCTGGGGGGGGGGACGGCTGGGCCCCACAGGGCAGGGCAGTGGGGAAGTGCAGCGGGGCTGCAGGGAAGGGGGCAAGTGCTGTGCTCCTCCAAACTCCCCATCCCCTGGGCTAGAGCAGCCCCCTGCTGAGACTCTGACAGCAAGGTCACCTCTGTCCCAGGCACCCCCACCTCACCCTATCCTTGCTGTCCCTCCCTCGCTGTTGCTACGGGAGGCCTCCCCCATTCCTCCAATCTCCAGCCACCACGGTGAGAGCATCACTTTGTGCCCCTAGTGACTGCTTCAAATGCACACACATGTGCACACACTCAGACATACATGTGTGTGCACGCACACGGGAACTCCCACATCCATGCTGCTGTGCCTACCAGAGGGCAGCTGGTGCTGATGGGAATTGTTGCCACAGTGGGGTGGTTAAGTGGGTGGAGAGGGTGTCCTCTGGGATACATGGGGACTGCAAGGTGCTGGCAACCCAGCCCTGCCCTGGGCCTAGCTCAGAGGGACAGGGAGAGGGTATTGCAGGGTGCAATGCCGGGGGCAGACAGGTAAGCCCTGGGCACATGCCATGGGAGAGGCTCAGGGGTGAGGCTGGGTGTGTGGGTGGAATGAGATAGACCAGCCCTTGCCAGAGGATTTGTGGGCCAGTCCCGTCCTAGCATATGATGAGTCTATGGCAGGTCTCAGCCTCTCTCCCTGGAGCTGGATTCCTGCTGGGGACCACCCCCTTCAGTGGGTGATGAGTCTGCCTGGTCTCAATCCATCTGCCCCCCTCTCTCTACCCCTCGTGGGGCCAGCCCTTTGGCTCCTTGCTTAGCACCATTAACATTGTGACATTTGGGGGCTGATTTTGAGGGGGACCCCCTTGTAGGTGAACCTCTCTCCCTCCCATTGCGACACGAGAGGGTGTGGCCAGATGAGAAGTGGATGCACGGACCAGGCTGTGGAGACCAAACTTCAGCAATAGGTGACTGAGTAGCAGAACTGAAGGCACCAAATTGGGGGTCAGGGGGGGTTATCTTGGTTCCCACAGGAAATGGGCTGGTGTGTGAATCCGGTAGGAGGGTAATGATTAACCCTAAATGTGCTGCTTTGACGTAAGAACGGGGGCACTCCTGTGGGGAGGTGGCCAGACCCAATCCCCTTGGATCAAGATGTGGGCTGGGGGAAGGAAAGTTGTTTGCTGGATGGATGTGTCTTTAAAGGGAGGGTGTGAGGTGAAGGGGGTGTGGAGGAGGTAGAAGAGAGTTAAGGGTTTAGAAGGTTAAAGGGGCAGAGACATAGAAAGGTAAATGAGGGCAAAGCCAGGGCTCCTGGCAGGGGCTGAGACTTGACACAGCTTGTTGCACATGCGAGGCACATTGGCAAAGGATCCCCCACCCCATCCAGGAGAGATGGGTCGGGGGAGCAGAGATGGGCAGGTCACCCCAGAATTGTCTCACTCTGCATCATTAGCAACACTCTTGACTGGGTCTGTGACTAGTGCCAGCTTGCTGGGGGAAGAGCCAGTGCTGGGGGCAGTGCCAGTGTCTGCTCTCCAGTGCCTGGGGCAGAGGCAGTGCCCGGTCCCCAGTGCCAGGGCAGAGGCAGTGCCTGGTCCACAATGGCTGTGCCCAGTCTGATGCCAGCCTTCTCTCTTCAATCCCAGCCCTGGATCCCAGTTCCCAGTCTCCAGTGCCCACTTCCCCCTCCCTCCATGCCAGCTTCCTCCTTGTTAACAGCTGCCTCTAATTGTGGGGAGAAGAGGGGAGGGCACTCTGGGTTAGCAGCATAACATGACAGGAGTCAATCGTTAACCCCCCTCCCCACCTTCCCCTCTGCTCGGTATATAAGGCAGCCAGGAGCTGGGAAGAGCTGCTCCTTAAGGGAACCTGTGCCCATCTCTCCCTGCAGGTGCCCGTGTCTGTCTCTCCCTTGAGGCACCCGTCTCTCCCTGCAGTCACCCCAAGAGGGGCTTGTGCCCATATCCCCCATCATCTAGTGTTCTCTGCCGCCCCCCAGCCATGGCCTTTGGAGACCTCCTGGAGAAGGTGGGCAGTGCAGGTCCCTTCCAGCTCCTCTGTGTTCTGCTGTTCACCGCGCCTGCCCTTCTCATTGCCAGCCACAACCTGGTGCAGAACTTCAGTGCCGCCTCCCCTGAGCACCAGTGCCGCCCTCCGCCACCGGGCACCAATGCCAGCTGGGTGGGCAACACCACTGCAACTCGTGGGGGGCTCTCCCTGGTCCCGAGTCCAGAACGGTGCTGTCGCTTGGTGGGCACCCATGGGCAGCATCCAAGATCCAACAGTTCGCTGGGCAGGGCAGGCGAGACAGAGCCCTGCCGGGACGGATGGTACTACGACCGCAGCACCTTCTCCTCCACCATCGTCACTGAGGTATGGCTGATAGCCCCCCTTCTTCCCTGCTGCCCCAAGGCAGAGCCATGGGGTGGGGGCAGGGAGGGGGGACCCATGTAGGGGGAGGGGATAGAGTGGGGATTGTGGGGGGAGAGGGGGAGGGGAGGTGGGAGCTGAAGAGGGGCGGGAACTGGGAGGACGGTAGGGGAGAGAGAGGATGGGGGAGAGTTGGGGAGGGGGCCAGAGAAGGGTGTGGGAGAAGGTTGGGTGCTGGGGGATACATGGCTATGGAGTTCCAGTCCCTCAGGTCAAGCCACTGACTGGGAGGGGGCCCCCTGGGGGCACCATACCCCGTCTCTGTGGGCACTGACTGTCCGTCTGTCTGCCAGTGGGATCTGGTGTGTGATCTGAGCCCCCTCCCGGCGCTGGCGCAGACGCTGTTCATGGCAGGGGTGCTGCTTGGAGCCCTCCTTTTTGGAGTCTTCTCGGACAGGTGGGTGATGGGGGGTGTCCCCCTGAAACTAATGTCCCCCACCCTGGATCAGATCCCCTCTTCCTGCTGCCCTGGCTCAGACCAATGGGCCCATCCAGCTCGGTATTCCTCCATGGCCCTGGATCAGACCAATGGGCCCATCCAGCTCGGTATTCCTCCATGCCCCCGGATCAGACCAATGGGCCCATCCAGCCTGGTATCCCCTCTACCCACTTCCCCCCCTGGATCAGACCAATGGGCCCATCCAGCCCAGTGTCCCCCCGCCCCTGCCGCCCTGGCTCAGACGCATGGTCCAATGCTAGGTCATTCCATGACGCATGGAAACACTCCCTGGGTTGAGATGCACCCTAAGCTTGCGAGTGGTTTACTCCTCACTTGTCACTGGCTGGTTATTGATGCTCAGCTCTCCAGCACTGCCTGTTAACCATGGGTTGTGGGTGACAACCCCGGCTGTCAGCGAAGACACATCCGTCGCTGATCGGCGCTCGGCACTCAGCCAACAGGCATTAGCAAGGGCTGGTTATTAACAAGGGGGTCCCACGCTTTGCTGCTTCTGCTGGCCCAGCACTTGTACACACCGTGCATCCCTCCATCCCCCTGCACAGCTCCCTCTGCTGCATCCAGCCCCCTCTAGTTCAGGGACTCGCTGCAAGCCCCCTACTGCCTCCCTCATGCCAGGGTCACCCGTTGTCCCCCAGTGCCAGGGGCTGTGGGCATACCCTCTTCCCCCCCATGTTCCCTTATTTACCCTCCCCCCACTGTTATTTGTCTGGGAGATGTCATTCCCCCCGCCCCTTACACTCTGTTGGGAGGATGGGCAGAGCCGAGATGGAGTGTTGTCATGCTGCTAGTGCATTCATTGGTGCCCTCAGCCAGTTTTTTGATCTCGGGTGCTTGAGGCTGTGGCTCTGCTAAAGTACTGCTGGGGCTCCTGATACCATCCATTTCCCTCTTCCAGTTGTGCCCAAATTCCCCATAGGGTTTTAGCCAGGGGTGGGCAATTTGGCCCAAGGGCCACATCTGGGAATAGAAATTGTATGGCGTGCCATGAATGCTCACGAAATTGGGGGTTGGGGTGTGGGAGAGGGTGAGGGCTCTGGTTGGGGGTGCGGGCTCTGGGGTGGGGCCAGAAATGAGGAGTTCAGGGTGCGGGAGGGAGCTCCGGGCTGGGGCAGGAGGCTGGGGGGGGTGAGGGCTCTGGCTGGGGGTGCGGGCTCTGGAGTGGGGCTGGGGATGAGGGGTTGGAGGTGCAGGAGGGTACTCCGGGCTAGGACTGAGAGCAGGAGAGTGATCAAGGCTGGGGCAGGGGATTGGGGCCCGGGAGAGGGGCAGGGGGGCAGGCTCCGGGCAGTGCTTACCTCAAGCAGCTTCTGGAAGCAGCGGCATGTCCCCGCTCCGGCTCCTACGTGGAGGCGCGGGCAGGCTTCTCTGAGTGTTGCCCCGTCCGCAGGCACTGCCCCTGCAGCTCCCATTGGCCGCGGTTCCCGGCCAACGGGAGCTGCAGGGGCTGTGCTTGGGACGTGGGCAGCGTGCGGAGCCCCTGGCTGCCCCTATGCGTAGGAGCCGTAGGGGGGACATGCCGCTACTTCTGGGAGCCAGGTGGAGCTATGGCACGCGTGGAGCAGGGCAAGCCCTGGACCCTGCTTCCCGGCAGGAGCTTGAGGGCCAGATTAAAACGTCTGAAGGGCCGGATGCAGCCCTGGTGCCGTAGTTTGCCCACCCCTGGTTTTAGCAATTGGTGCCTGGAACGTTCCCTGAAATTCTGGGCTGGATCAGACACAGCACTCAAAGGTTATCATGTTGCAGACAGAATGAGAAATGCCAGGGAATTGGGTGTACGGCCAAGCTCCGTCAGTTACAAGTTACCGGCTATCAATGAACAATGATCAAGTGCTGGTCACTAGTTTCGATGATCAGTTATTTACCAGTAATGATCAGTCAGCTGGGGCAGTTACTGTTGATCAGTGATTATTATCTGTCAATTACTGACTCCAAACAATCAGAGATGCCTGACAGAGTGCTGCAGTTTCCTGTGGCAGTGAGTACCGCAGGTGAACGGTCTGACATGTGAGAGCTGTGAGGCTTCCTCTGTGGTCTTACCCTGGACACTCCCCCCTGTGATGCAGGTTTGGGCGACGGGTCATCCTGCTGTGTTCTCTGCTGTTGATAGCTGTCATGGGAACCGGGGCTGCCTTGTCCTCAGACTTCCTCACCTACTGCGCCTTCCGCCTGCTGAGTGGGGTTGGTCTGTCTGGCTTCCTCCTCAACTACATCTGCCTCAGTGAGTATCCCCAGGGCAGGGGGAATGGGACAGGGCCTTTCCCCTCTAGGGTGCATCAGCTACAATCCAGCCCCAGGGCAGGGGGACCAACTGGCTTGTGGGGGATAAGATATGGAGCTTTCTGCTCCACTGGGCACCGTCCCCAATTTGGCCCTAGAGTGGGAGCTGGCTGGCTTTGGGGGATGGGATATGAGGCCTTTCCTCACCAATGGGCACTGGCTCCAATCCAGCCCCAAAGCGGAGGGACTGGCTGGCCTAAGAGGGTGAGGAATGGGGTATGGGGCCCTTCACCATAGGGGGCACCAACTCCAATCCAGGTTAATGATGCCCAGGGACCTTGCCCATCCAGTGTCCCATTGCATAGCATGCAATGACTTTGCTGTGTCTCAGCCCAGTTCCTAGCAGGAATATCTCGGCTGGCACTAATTGTGGGAGGCTCGCGTGGGAAGGCTGAAAGAACCACAAAAATGAGCCTCCCCATCCCCAAGGCTGGCCTGGGCTGAGGCCCATGAGTGATGGGTGTGGGGAGGGGCTTGGGCTGAGAAAGGAGCTCAGGAGTCATCCCCCAGCTCAGATGTTTCATCTCTCTGCCCCTGCCCAGGTCTGGAATGGGTCCCCACCAAGTCCCGTGTCCTGGTGGTGACATGGCTGAGTTACTGCAGCACGGCAGGCCAGGTGGTGCTGGCTGGCCTGGCCTACGGCATCCGGGACTGGCGCTGGCTGCAGCTGGCCATTTCCACCCCCTTCTTCATCTTCTTCCTCTGCGCCTGGTGAGTCCCCCATCCCCAGAAGGGACTTGGAGAGGAGTGGGGTCCAGTAGTGAGAGCAGGGGGCTGGGAGCCAGGACTCCTGGGTCCTACTCTCTGCTTTGGGAGGGGTGTGGGGTCCAGTGGTGAGAGCAGGGGAGAGGACTGTGTTCTATTCCCAGCCTGGCCACTGCTTAACTCTGTGACCTTGGTGGGGGCAAATCACATCCCCCCCATGTCTCAGTTTCCCCCTCCATAAAACAGGGGGCTGAAGAAATGACAGAAAAGTCCTTTGAGATCCCCCAGGGATCAGCCTCGTCTGAGTGGCGTCCCGGCTTCTCCCCTCCCCAGGTGGATCCCAGAGTCCGCACGCTGGCTCATCGTCAACCACAGGCCTGCGATGGCGCTGAGCAACCTGCAACGGGTGGCCCGGATCAACCGGAAGCAGCTGGGTGGGGACAGCATCTCCCTGGAGGTGAGATGATGCCCTTTGACCCCTGGGGTCACAGCATGTCCCAGCCCTGATACCCAGCTGGGGCTGGCCCTGGCGAGGGGGATGGGAGGTCCTTGGGGATGCCCCAGTTGGGTCGGCACCTGGCCCATCTCCTTACCTGCATGGCACCGGGAGCTGGGAAAGCCAAAAGGGGGCAGGGTCTTGTCCAGAGAGGAGCCCCCCCCACCCATACAAACACAGTGGTGCAGCGAAGGGAGTGGAAGTTCCTTTGTGGGGCATGGAGCTGGGGGGGGCAAAGGCATGAGAGCAAGAGGCGCACATCACGCAGGGGAGGGCCCTGCTCCAAACTAGGATTCAAAGGACTTAATCTCTCCAACCATCCAGTTCTGTGCACACACATGTCTGTCCCTCCCTCCCCACACACACCTGTCCTCTGTCCCTCCCCACACACACCCGTCCATCCCTCCCTCCCCACACACACCCGTCCATCCCTCCTTATCCACACACACACGTCCTCCGTCCCTCCCCAACCATATCTGTCCATCCCTCCCTCCCCACACACACCCGTCCATCCCTCCCTCCCCACACACACCCGTCCTCCGTCCCTCCCCAACCATATCCGTCCATCCTTCCTTCCCCACACACCCCTGTCCTCTGTCCCTGCCCACACACATCCATCCATCCCTCCCTCCCCACACACACCCCTCCATCCCTCCTTATCCACACACACCCGTCCTCCATCCCTCCCCAACCATATCCGTCCATCCCTCCCTCCCCACACATACCCGTCCATCCCTCCCCACACACCGTCCACCCCTCCCTCCTCATACACACCCGTCTACCCCTCCCTCCCCACACACATCCGTCCATCCCTCCTTACCCACACACACCGTCATCTGTCCCTCCACACACACACCCATCCATCCCGCCCTCCCTCCTTCCCCAGACACATCCATCCATTCCTCTGTCCCTCCCTCCCCATGCACACCCATCCGTCCCTTCCTCCCCCACACACCCATCCATCCTTCCATCCCTCTCTCCCACACACCCGTCCATCCCTCTGTCCCTCCCTTCCCATGCACACCCATCCATCCCTCCCACCCCACACACATCCATCCATTCTTTCATTCCCACATACACCCATCCATCCCTCCCTCCCACACACACACACCCATCCCTCCCTACACACTGTCCATCTCTCCCTCCTACACACACCCATCCATCCTTCCCTCCCCGCACACACCCATCCATCTCTCCCTCACACACACACGTCCATACCTCCCTCCACCCACACACACTTGGCCATCCCTCTGTCCCTCCCTCCCCACACACACCCATCCAGCCCTCCCTCCCCACACACCCCCATCCATTCTTTCATTCCCACACACACCCTTCGATCTCTCCCTACACACCGTCCATCTCTCCCTCCCACACACACACGTCGATCCCTCCCTCCCCGCACACACCCATCCATCTCTCCCTCCCTCCCACACACACCCATCCATCCCTCCGTCACACACACATGTCCATACCTCCCTCCCCCCACACACACTCGTCCATCCCTCTGTCCCTCCCTCCCCACACACACCCATCCATCTCTCCCTCTCACACATACCCATCCATCCTTCTGTCCCTCCCCACACCCATCCCTCCCTCCCTCACACACACACGTCCATACCTCCCTCCCCCCCACACACTCGTCCATCCCTCTCTCTCTCCCTCCCTCCCCACACACACATGTCCCTCCCTCCATAGGCGCCAACTCCGTGGGTGCTCCCGGGCTGGAGCACCCACAGTGAAAAATTGGTGGGTGCTCTGCACCCACCGGCAGCTCCCTGCCCCGCCCCAGCTCACCTCCACCTCCTCCCCGAGCGCACCACGGCTCCACTTCTCCCTCTAGCTCCCAGTGCTCGCCGCCACGAAACAGCTGTTTGACGGCGGCAAGCGCTGGGAGGGAGAGGGGAGGAGTGGGAACGTGGCGCTCTCGGGGAAGAGGCAGAGCTGAGGGGGGGATTTGGGGAAGGAGTCCCATGGGGCAGGGAGGGGGCAGAGTTGGGGCGGGGACTTTGGGGAAGGGATTGGAATGAGGGTGGGGCAGGGGTGGATTCGGGGCGGGGCCAGGGGCGGGCGGGGGTTGAGCACCCACCGGTGCTGGAAAAAGTTGGTGCCTATGCCTCCCTCCCTCCGGCCCGTCCGTCCTTCCGTCCCTCCCTCCCCACACACAGCCGTCCGTCTCTCCCTCCCCACACACACCTGTCCATCCTTCCCTCCCCACACACACCTGTCCATCCCTCCCTCCCCACACACAGCC